GGCCGGTGCGCGGAGCAGCGCCAGGGAGCGGGGCGGCCGCGTGCTGGTGTTGCCCTCCAGAGGCGACTGTCCGTTGCTTTTTCTCTTCCTTTCCTCTCGCTTTTTGGTAATAAAGTGGGTCGCGCTGTGTCGCCTAGGCTGGTCTCGAACTCCTGGCCTCCAGCGATCCTCCGGCCTCGGCCTCCCAAAGTGCTGGGAAGACGGGCACGAGCCACCGCGCCCTGACAGTCACGTGGTGTAGGCACCGCCCGGCCGCTGACCCCGATTTGGGTCCCGAGGAGAAAGGGGCTTCTGTGGGCTGCCTCTCTCCCGCGGAAAGTCTCGTGGAAATCGTGCTCCTAGCCTGGAGGGTGCCGGCTGCCGTGTGGTAGACCCAGTCTTGCCCCACTCAGGGACTGTGGGGAAAATCTGAGGAGCCCCCGAGCGGGAAGGCCACGTGGCGAAGGCTGGGGAGGGGGAAGGGTGGGAGAGAACGGGCGCACCTAGGAGGACAGGAGGAGGGAGGTGTCCAAAAACTTAGGGGAGGCAGGCTGTTTCTTTGGGGACAGCGAGGAGTTTCCCTGTGGCAATTCCCTGGCGCCCACCTGCTTGGAAACCGGGTCGCACAGGACACGTCCCTGAGAAGGTTCTTCCCTGGTGCAGCCAGCGCCACTGTGCCTGCCAGGTGACGGACAGCAGCCCCGGGGGGCCGGCAGGCTCCCCTCCTGCGCGCGGCCTGGCATGCCTGGGCTGAGCCAGGCTGTCCCTCCCCAGGGCCCTGGCCTGCAGCCACCTGGCTGACTGGGGCTGCTCAGTCCCTCGTTCCAAAGGAACCCCGTGTCATCCCAGCAACTCTGTGTTACGTCTCAGGGACCAGGCAACTGTGACCATGGGGGCAGCCCTGTCCCACTTGGACGTCTTGGCATCCCCTACCCCCAGTCGCTCCAAGGACAGACAGCGAACAGGGTGACCTGGATTTCTTTATTTTTTATTTTTTGAGTTGGAGTCTCACTCCGTCGCCCAGACTGGAGTGCAGCGGCCGCTCCCGGCCACCGCAGCCTCGACCTGCTGGGCTCCGGCGATCCTTCCGCCTCAGCCTTCCAAGCAGCCGGAATTACAGCCATGCGCTACCACGCCCGGCTGATTTTTTGATTTATTGTAGAGATGAGGTCTCGCTGCCCAGGCGGGTCTCGAACCCGCGGGCTCAGGCAATCCACTCACCTCAGCCTCCCAAAGGCACGGGGAGTACAGGCTGAGCCACCGAGCCCGGCTTGACCTGGATTTAAATCCAGCCACAGCAGTCGAGCCAGGTGACTCTGGGCCGATCATTAAATGCCCTGGGCTTCTGTTTCCCCACCTGTGAAGGGGGCGTGCTGCGGAATCGCACAAGAGATGCAGCCAGGTACGCTCCACTAAGCAACTGGAAGTGGCTTTAACTGTCGTCTGAGCAATTAGTCACAGCTGTGAAGGGTGTGGCAGTCAGAACAGGGCAGCCTGCGGCGGGGGTGTGGGACAGCGGGGATGGGCCAGCTCCGGAAGTCGCAGGCCCTGCCCCTTGAGGAAGGCAGGGTTTCGGGTTTTTTTTGTGGTTTTGCCTTTTTTTTTTTTTTTTT